TAGAAGGCATGAAATAAAGTTAACTTTTTAAACAAAAAAAATGCAGCTAGAGATTGGTGCACAGTATCAGGACTATAAAAATAGATTAATCAAAAATAGCCTACCAGATTAGTGACTGTGAGAGGTGGCAATCATCTCTGCTTATTAATGGACTATTTTCTAGAACTTATTTTGCTTCTGCCTCATAACTGTTGTGGCTACTTAATTTAAAATAAACTGTTGAACAGGTAGGATTATGTGGCCTGCAGAATGCTGTTCTCCTCCCTCTTACAGTCTTTTTGAAGTGAAGAAGAGACATTTCTACAGTTCTCTAAGGTACCCTGTATGGGTGTCTCAGGCTGTCTGCACAGGTAATGGGGAAGGTGGGCACTACAGTGTTGAACACAGGCCTGTGTTTTCCTATCTCAGTCAGGAAGATGTGTGATTTAGGGTGGCAGAACTTTAATGTAATGCACTGGCTGCTACTTGTGATGGTTTTGTTCCTTGGATTCTAGTAACTTCCTGCTTTAATTCTTTTAGAAAAAACATTTGACTAAGCAGTGGTATTTCTAGTGGTAACTGTGGTGTTAACTTGATTTATCCTTGGAGTGGTCTCTTTAGAAATGTGTTTATCATCAGGTAGTCACAGTTTTCTGTGGCCTTACAAAGCTCTTGAGTGAACGTGTAATATCCTTCCTGATAATGCTTTCTGTGGCATACTGACAGCTGTCTTACCTTTCCAAACATAGCTTGCCAAGAACATGAGGAGAAATTACAGCTTAAAAACCTTCAAAGAGTGAGGCATTTCTACATTGCTGTACATTATGTACACATAAGGTGTACTTGTATGCATGTGAGAAAGAGGTGGGATTTTTTTCTTTACTGATATTTATTTGCTTTCTGAATTCCACTGTGAAAGTTTTCCTAGGAGGTTGCTAAAATAGAAGGAATTTTCCTTGCTACATACTCAGTCATATCTTAACATGTAGATGTACGATACAATATGCTTAGGAATTTAATGTTGGCCTTTAGAATTATTGTTAGAAAATTTGTTCATCACAGGGCGAGAAGGGTGCATAGCTAATGTCAAATCTGGTGTTCTTCAAAAGCACTGCAGCAATTTTGAGTCTTTGAAATTTAAGGATATGTATAGTAATGCCACTTATACTTACCATTATGTTTTGGTGGTCTGTATCTTTTCCACTGTTTTTTACAGTATCCGGTGCAAACAGCAGACCAGTAGATTACAGAGTTTTGATGTGATGCTGTTAACTGGGAAGAGTGATCAGCATTGCATATGAGTGCTGAATTTGCAGTTGAGGAGAGACAAAAATAAGGTTATAGATATTGAGAGTGCAAGTGGTGCTTGTAGATGCTGCATGCCTTGGTGAGAGTATTTGGTTCTTTATGCTATTCTGAGATCTCAGGTAATCATTTTCTTAGAATGCCAGAATCAAATCTTTGTCCTCAAAACTCCAGTGATTATATGAGGACATATAATGAGTTTGGAAAGGCTTTGAATTTTTTGGCTGCTTAAGTAGTTTCACAAGGAAGGATTTTTTGTTTCTTACAGTTCAAAACAAGTCACATCTTGCACTTCTTCTGTGTTGTTTTCATTTTTCCCATTTCCTGCACAGAGTCTTTATAATTCTCTCGTTTTCATTCAGCATGCCAATGAATAATTTCAGATTACATCTTAATAAGGCACGAGTCATGACATGGAGTATGGAGTTGTGATGTTTTGAATAATTTATTGATCTCATTTTTGAATGAAAAATGACTAGTGAAGAGGATGGGCCAGCTGGTTGCAGTAAGAAGGGTGAGAAGCAGCCTCTGGGGATGAAATGCTTCCACATCAGGCTCTGCAAAGAATCTCTGTGCTTACCATATAACCTAAGCATCAAACACAGTCATTTTTCAGTGCCCCCGAGATCTTGGTGCTTTAGAAGTAGATGTCAAGTCTAGCATATCTCTTTATTTTGAGCTAACTCAGCAGAATGAAGTTCACTTTTCTTCAGTGTTTGAGTGTGTATCAAATTTCTTAGTAAGAGCCACACCTTCCATTTATTCACTTACATTTTAGGAGTAAGTCTCATGCTTTGGCCTTTAGAAAGTCTGTAGCAGTGCAGCAAAGAGAAGACTTTAATTCCCTTGTGATTTACCTAGTTTCTTGAGCAGGGCGTGCAGTCTGTCATCCTCATTGAGGATCTAATGAGATCTGATCCCTGCCTGGCAGCCTTTTAACAGCAGGTGCAAGCTCCCAAACAAGCAGAGGGCATGGTGTATTAGCAAAATGACTCACTTCATCAGTGTCGTGTGCATCTTACAAATATTGCTCCATCCTGTGAATGGTGCAGTGCATCTCATTCTAAAAGCCATTTGAAGGACATGGTTTATGGGATTGAATTTATCAAGGTAACTTTTATCAGTGTTTAAATCTTCATACAAAAGTGGGGAAGGAGGAAGTTTATATCTGTTTTCATATTGTAAAGAAACCTTGAAATGCATGCCAGAGTTGATGTATGACAGAACGGTATTTTAATTATACACCTAGAGTGGTAAATGTATTTAAGCTTTTTGGTTTTCACTCTGAAACACCTGGCTTGCAGTTTACATTGCTGTTTCACCAGATTTTAGGTTTTTATCACCTGTGGTTATCTATAGACAACAAATATTGAATAGTTGCTTTATAAAATAGAGTGATTTATTGATACAGTAAATACTGTATCTCTTTACTACTGGCACAGGGAATCCTGACCTTATTTAGTCTGCAGTGGAATCTCGATGACCCTACTACAACCATGGTCTGTAACAGTATAGTTGTAAGTCCTTTCTTTGTATACGTGCAGTCCTCCATGACTTAGACTGACTCAAAAAAGTGTGAGAAAATGCTGCAACATAATTAGACATTTTGCACAGGATATCCCTTACTAGATAAAAGCTGGGGATCAGCAGCTTTGTGAAGGTAATGAAACTCCACTGAGTACTGGCTAAAATCACATATCTGTGCTTTTCCAGACATGGAGAGCTACATGTGTAATGGTTGTCTGTAGTAGGTCTGTTTGTTTGGAGGGCACATGATACCATCACTGTCAGTAAAGCTTCTGTAGCTGCAGACTGAGAGGCTGCTCCCTCTTGGTTTCCAGATATGTTGGGATACATCTCAGCAGTATTTGATCTTGAACTTGGTCTTACTTCTAAGTGGCAGTGAGTTGATTAGACTCTTCAAGACTTTTTTGTTGAGGATTGGGTGATTAGTTTAACTCAGGAAAACTCAGCACTTTGGGCTGTTGGTTTTTGAAGAATTAGTGGGGGTGGAAGGCCATTTATTGAAGCCAGTTTTAAATTTCATCAGTCCTCTGTTGAAGGCATAATGCTTGAATGATAACATAAACCATGTTAAGGAGCTGTTGTCCCATGTAATGAGTAGGAAAAAATGCTTTGTGTGATGAAAGCTGTGTACCAGATATAATGCTGAATTGCTCTCTGGTTTTGTGCTATAGGAGAACTTGAGATAAAGTTTTAAGGGTGATACACACCTTTATTGCCCAGAGACTTAAGTTTCTGCTGCCAGATTGTCCTGTTGAAAGGGTGAAAAAATCCAAAACACCATGTCCAGGCAGTCATTCGGTAGCCAAATGAAAAGCATACTTTGTTATGTAAAACACAAAACACAAACCTGTTTTCCATTCGGCCAACTAATTCTTTGTCAGCCTTCACTGAATCTTGTTATTTTGATGCAAAGGAAACTTGGTTGTTGAACTATTAAGAATATTTTAAAAAATAATAACCCATGAAAAACCTGAGGGTCTGTTGGGGTGACATCTGAGTTACATAATTTTTCATTTAACTTCTTCGTTAACATTGCAACAACAGTCTCCTTTTCTCATACGGAGTTCACTGCAAAGTGAATCTGCAAATATTTTTAGCACTACTTGTTTTGTCTTTCTCCAAAGCAGAAGTATTTTTTGCTGACATTATTGTCAGATTCTCTTTTCTTTCAGGGGAAAAAATGAGTAATGAAAATTAAACTGAATTTAAAGTGAGTTTTTAACAGGAGTTTAGAGCTGGTCATCTTGGGGTTTTTCAGTAGGTTAACAACAATTTTAAGAAATACAAAAATTAATTTCACTTCTGTCATTAAAGTCTGCAAATGTGGCAGTACATAGAAGCAATTAACTCACATATGTTTTATTATGGTCGGCTTTCACAGTAAAGCTATCAGTGTTTTGGATTGATTTTTTGTAGTTCAGTTATTGCAAAGAGAAAACAATTGCAAAAGAGTCATGTTTGTCGCAGGTCAGATGTGGACATGTTATCTCAAGTTATAAGATCACTGAGTACTCACTCAAGTGATGACTCCATTATAGTTTGTAAAAGCAGTATACTTTATTGGACTTGTGGTTATTTCTTTAGAGAATGGACATTGAGTTCTCAAAAAAACCCCCTGGTATTTTGCTTCCTTAATTACTGGAGTTCATGATTGAATGTTAAGAAGTAGCTTACTTGCAGTTGTGACCTCTGAATTCATATTTGAATTGTATCTGAGCTCAATATCACTGGGTAATTTTAATTTGCCAAAGAATATCATACTCATCTTCACTAAGGAAAGTTGCCAAACAAAAAACACAGATTTTTTTAAAAGTCTCATGAGAACTGTTTGCTGTGTTTGGAGGAAGAGAGAGTTAGTGTCTAAGAATGCTGCCAGAAATTTAGTGTGGTCTTTGCAGGATTGCACATGACCAGGTTTTATAGTAATGTATTGGTGATCAAGGGCTCTTCACATCACATTTGAGGTATTAATTATGTCCTTGTTTCTAATGGAGTGTTCCTTAATGGCAAGAGCCGTTTCTCTCCCTACTGCTGACTTGTCCTGTGGCTTTGAACATAGTTATTTATTCTTTGCTTGGGTTTACTCATGTGCGGAATTAAGTTTTACATACGTCTTAGTGTTGTTGCAATGCTTAATTAATATTTATAGAGGCCTTTGACATCCTGTGATGAAAGGAACTCTGCAAGTGTTCAGTAGTGGTATTATTTTATTAGTGAAAATGCAGGAGGAGTCAGAAGGATACCAGTTTTGAATTCAGAGTGAGCAATGGAGTCATTCTGTAACCTTGAGCAGGTCGTGCAGTCTCTTGTTTTGTTACATATCCTGGGAAAGCTCTGTTTTGCAGCATGTGTTATTAAATGCCATCCTTTCCTCCCCCAAGTCCATTCTGAGGAAAAAAAGGTAAAAAGTGAACAAACACAGGCAACTTTACTGAGCTGCTAAACATAGCAGGTATTTCTTAAGGAAACAGATCGTTAACGGGGGCAGAGGGTGAGAAGGGAGTGGATGTGACAGTTGCATTTCAGAGTCAACATGAGAACTTGAGCGTGTGTTATCTGGTCACAGACCAGACTGGATTTTGCCTGTTACAGATCTCTCTCATTTGAGTTGAGTATGCACCGTGCTTAACTGCAACTTCACTGTATATAATCTTTATTGCATTCTAAGAGCTCACTAATCCATGATACTCAGCTGGTAAACAAGTTCGTTTTTCAGACTGAATATTGTCTGTATTTGAGCTTTGTGATTGTCAAGATTGATAGTCAGCTCTTATAGCATCTTGTATTTGACTATTGCATAATAATATAAATCTCAGTCACTTGTGAGGTTTTTTCCTCAACTGACAGAGGAAGGTTATGATTACATACTGTCATTAAAATTACAAGATAGTGAGGAACTTTTGAAAAGTATACATCTGTTTCAAGACTGAGCCAGCTAGACATTTACCTAATTATATAAGGCACAATAACATTAAATAGTTACTTGCCATGCTTCACGCATGCAAATACAGGGTTTTTTATTTCCTTTATTTTTTTATTTCCTACACAGTGCTATATCTGCATTTTATTCATTGCACAAAACACATAGGTGTGGTTTACAACAAGGGGCATCACAACTTTTATTTGAAGCACTTGAGCAAGGTGAGTAGCTTACCCAGTGAAGTGTGAGGCATAGCTGAATGTAAGTGCCAGTTTATGCCAGTGCAGTACAGTGAATTCAAATTGAAAGCACCTGGATCTTTGTCCTGCTTTATTGCAGTCTGGCTGGACAGCTTGTTCCTGGGGGCTTTTTACTTGTCTTTAGTCCTGCTTCAACTCTCAGCTCAGCTGGCCTAAGGATGAAGAGGAACAGTGTTTGTCCCTACTGAGAATAAACAATGGTTTGTAGTCTTGAAGAACAGCAGTTATTTAAACCCCCATGCTTTATATGACCCTAGTTATAAGCCTTAATTTATGGAGCGTGCCTTGTAGTAATGGAATATCAAGAATTTACCTGCCCGGCTTCAGCTGAATATGCTGAACATAGATTTAGGTAGATTTGTTCCATGATAGAGTAATTTTTAGAGATTTCTACAGCATTTTCCAGAGCTGGAAAATCTGTTACTTGCTTCTGCCTTAGACTTCCTGATATGGATCATGACAGGCCTGGAAGTTTGTAACTGAATATTTGCAGCAAGTAACTGAATGAATTTTCTTACCTGTTAAAAATAAATATTGCCTCAGGTAATAAATGGAGTGGAAAATACAAACCTTAATACCTTTGCCAAGAAAATCTGAGCAAGCTGTACAGAGTTGTTTGAACTTCTAATACATTTAAAAAACAACCTTAACTTGCTGGTTCTTCCACTTTGACCTACAACCAAAGAATAATAACTTAGTGTGGAAAGCCTTGTTCTTAACTTCACACTGATAAAATTAAATACATTCTACCTTTAGTATTCTGATTTAGTATAATTAAAATAATGACTTACAGTTTGATAAATGTTATTTTCATTACTACAGTGCCCTGAAGCACTGCATGTGGAAAATTTTATAATATTACACAGATCTGGAGGTATGTAATGTGCTTGTCAGACTATTAACTTGCATAAAGTGTTTTGGTTTTTGTTAGCATATAAATTTAGAGTGTTTCTTTGGAAACTGAATAAAAGTAAGCAGTCAGATCCCTTCCAAAATGAAATGTAAATTACACCACTATGCAACTGCGAGGGTATCCTTATAATATCCCCATGCAGGTAGAAGTCAAGCATCTTGCCGTTCAGTAGAAGCTGCCTGTAAGCAGTATGACTGTGGCTTGGCTTGGTTTGGTGAGGGATTTTTTCCCAGTAATTCAATAGTCACTAAATAGAAACTGCTTCACTGATATTTTTTTTTAATATTTTCTTGATCTGAAGTGCCATGTCATGAATGTTAAGAAAGCCTCCAGTATTTTCAAGTGTGTTAAAAAGTGCAGCAAGTAACACTGTAATAATGTTGTGTGATGTTTTCTTTATTTTCCCCTTCCCCTACAAGTCTGTTCTTTATCTGTAGATAGTCTGGATCTTTACCAGGATGGCTTTTAGGTCCTAGGGTTTTATTGACTGAGAAGCACAAATATATATAAATGTCAAAGTTTAAAATAAATGTAACTGCTTGTTAAAGATTCTGTATAATCCAGTTTTTTACTGTCTGTGCAGCCTCTGCTGGTGCCACAAATGATGTTCTGGCAGAAAGCGTTTCATTTGATTAAACTGTATTATACTTATTCAGTATTCTTTTCTGAAATGTCACATTCTGACATTAAAACAAGTGTCATAATTGTTGTGTGCACTGTGGCATAGTTACCTTACTATGGGAAATAAATAAATTTCCTGTGACTCTTTTAGTGTTGAAAAATAATTCTTTTCTTGGCATTTAAGAATAGAACTTTGTACTCTAAGAAAGTACGGAGCTCTTTTGTTAAAATCAAATTTATGCTGTAGGCAGGAGTTAGCATTTCATTTTTAACTACAGTTGTATTAATAGTATTATTTTAATAGCACTTCTCATACATATCTACGAGAATGCACTATTAAGGTGGCAGTAATACTGGTGTCCCAGTTTGTAACACGTTCAAAGCCCCAGTAAGACATTGGCAAAGCTGCCAGGAGAGGTTTGAGCCTCACTTGTGAAAGTGATCTGGGCTGCTGAATGCAGTGGTGTCCTGGTGCAGACCTGGAGTGGAGGGTAGCTCATTTAGCTACCTGCTGCAGTCCTTCTGCAGAGGATGTGTCAGTAATTAGTTTCCTGCTCACTGGACCACTAAGTACAGAGCTATGTTTTTGTTCTATGCTAATACATTTTTTAGAGGAAGTATTCCAGAGCTGCATTTCCAGCTGGTGACACAGAGCTGGTACTGGTTAGCAGTGCCAAGTGCACTGGCAGCAGGGCAGTCTGGTGCTGCTCATGTTCAACATCTGTATTAATGACGTGCTCTGTTGGGATGGAACAAACCCTCAGCACCTTTGCAGGTGATATCAAATGAGGCTGAATGATTGACTCCTCTGGAGATTAAGGTTGCCATTCAGGGGAAACACAGTAGGCTGGAGAAAAGGGCCTGACAAGCCTCTTGAAATTTAACAATTGTGGATGGAAAGTACTACATCTCTGTCAAAAGAACGCCCTGCTATAGCCTAGGCTAGACATCCACTGATTAGACTGTAGCTCTGCAGAAACAACACCTGAAGGTCCTGTGAAAGAAAAAGTAGAATGTGAATCAGCAGGATGTCCTTGCTGTTAAGAAACCAGCCATGTGCTGTGCTGTATTAGCAAGGATATAGCCAGTGGGTCAGGAGAAGGCATTCAATGCTTTGAAGTCCATCTTTAACATACTGTGTCCAGGTTTGGTTCTCATAGAGGGAAGACACTGATCTTGAGGATTGCCAGCTCTCTCTTCCCAGTGAAATAACTGACTTGCGTCCCTGTAGCAGGCACACGTTCTTCCTTGATTTTATTTTGGTAGCTGTTACCCTTTTACTGGTCTGTGCTGTGTCTTGGGGCTGTCAGAATGACACAGGTATTTTTATTGGCAAACACAGATAATGCAGCTTTCTACATGTGTGAGTAGTTTGTAGAGGAAAAGAAAGCTTTTTGATGATCACATAAAATCCTAAAGTCCTGAAAGGAACTATGTCTTGCCAAAGGGATGTCCTGATAGGATACATTACAGGACATCTTAATTACAGGCAAATTTCTGACCTCATGTTTTGCCACTCTTGGGCTAATTTTACCACTTTTCACAGTTGTCTAAACATACTTTACCTGTGTCTTTGGTGTGCGTGGTTGTGCATGCTATGAAATAATAATTATAGTTCTGCAAGAGCTCCAAAGTGTTTAAAGCCTGAAGTAGGGGAGAAAACTTGCTCAGTTCTTACATTTTAGAATTTTGGCTGTAGCTCTCCATTTTCTTAATGCTTTCTTTTTTTATCAGTTGGCTAACATGTAGGAACTTCAAATTGTATCTGGAAGCCAGTTTTTTAATATATCAATAGATAGAAATTGTACAGCTGGAAAGAGTAATTCTGCTTAAAGGAGTGCAAGCAAGAAATACAGAATTTTTAAAAATCTTTTTTATCTTTTTAACATATTTCAAGGTTTTCTTATGAAGAGGTGACTCTTAAAACTGAAATTGCCCCCTTTAGTTGCTGAAGAGCTGAGAAAAAAAAACCTCAATTTCTGTGAGCATTTGTTATTGTACTGTAGGGCTTATATCATCCAGCTCTCTAAAGAGCCTTTATGCTCGTGTATAGAATGTATCTAGAACACACCACAAAGATACAGGTAGATAACGCTGTATATAGATACATCACAAAATTCTATATATAGACTACACGACAAATAATTAATTTTCCTCTGTTAACAAGTGTAATAACAGTTGGTAAGGAGCATTCCTTAGAACATGTCCTTTGAGCTGAGTGAGTTTGCTGATGTGTGGAGTTGGTTGTTATCCCCAGCAGTGGCCAGCTGCTGATGCTGTGCTGCGATAAAGGCCTATCGCTTGGGCCAGCCACGCTGGTAAAGTGCACAGCGTTCTTGCTCTGACGCTGTTCTGGCTTTCAGCCAAAGAGAAGAAAAAGCAGCTTACTCTTGAAAAGGAATAATCTTTTGAAAATGCTGCTTTAGAGCACTTCTAAAAACACCCTTTCTGTCTTTTATTTAATACATGGTGAGTATGTGTTGTGTTTATATAAAATCCACAGCTTTCCCTGGGAGAGAGAGAGGACGGGCTTTTTATCTTACATAAGGTGTATATACTATTTATGCATGTTGCAAATATGAAAGTCTAAATTTCATACTCTGAAGGACCGAGTTCTGCTATCGAGATTTCACTTAGATTCAGAAAGCGTGGGACAATAATCCTTTTCCTAGATGGCCAATTTTGAACTGCACAGTTTATCCCTTGCATCGGTATTGCAGTTTTTCAGTGATGCTTTGAATTTCTGTCTCACTTCAAGCAAACAAATAATTTTTTTCCTCTCTTTAAAGATTTTATACTCTAGGTCTTCAGGAATGCTATTCTGAAGTATCAATTGTTTTTCCTTATAAACATCAGAAATCACTTGGCCTAAAGTAATTTCATATTCCATTTTTGTCAGTTCAGCCTAAAGACTGACTTTTAAAATGGCTATCTCCCATGTAAGCATATTTTGTATGGCTGTCTAATCTATGCATGCAAGCATTGCCTAATAAGAAAGAAGACTGTGATGTTGAGTATTTTAACTTCTGTTAAAATAAAATGTATTAATCCCATTTTGACTCTTTTGATCAGCAAGATCATAACTCTTTATTTACATGGCTTAGTCTAGTGGAAGTAATTTTACCTTTTAGGAATGTAGGGTCTGTCAGCCCTGGAATTTATTCCATGCTGTGTTACATCTTGCTTCTGTTTGATGTTCTCTTTAAATGCACTGGAGCACACTTGCATGTTTGTACATGCCACACTCTTCTCATGCTGCTGAAATAATGAAGCATGCCTGTTGAGTGGGATATATTAAATGAAAGTGAAGTAAAACTGTAAGGATTTCTATGCTCCAGTTGTGTTGCATTTAATTTTGCTTCATTTTTGGTCACTGACATCCAGCTTCCTGATATGATTTAAAAGCTTTCATCCCTTTTTCAAGCTGTAGGCCGCCAGTGTTCATTGCTGCAGCAAGAAGGGCTTGCACCTCAAGGAACTCACTTGGGAGTTGGTAGTATGCCTTTTCTTCATTGCTTATGACCCTTAGTTGTAATAATTTTATGCTTTTTAATGCATTACTGTGAGTTGAATTTGCTTCCCATATACTCATCTAAGTTCCAGAGAAAGTCCGAACAAGTGAAGGTCAAGGACAGAGCTTGATGAAGAGAAATAAAATGGAAGTAAATGAAAACCACTTGCCAGTGGCCAGCAGCAAGATGTTCATGAGATAGCACAGTTGAAGACATTTCACTTTGCTGTAAGAGGTTTTGTCCCTTATGGAGTGAAGGGAGCTTCTGTTGTGGAAGCTACACCTAGACTTGAGCTTGTTAAAAGGTGTTTTGCAACACATCTGAGACACCAGTGTGTGATGCCTAATTCTGCTGATATCCAGGCTGTATAACTTAATATTGAGAAAACTTTCAGCAATGTTGAGAAGTTAGGTGCTTGTAGTTCACTTGAAATCCTTTTGCTTCAAATCTTGACCAATATTGGATACCTTATTGTTGGATAAATTTCTGGTTTAATCGAATCTTGAGTCTTTCCAGCTGTTTCCAAAAGACTTGAAATATATTTATGGTCTGATATTTTGGATCACTAGAGGCTTATCTGTAAGGAAGAGTTATTAATAGCTCAGGTTTTGCTTCTAAGTGACAGTGGTCTGTGCATGCAAATAATTTTCTGCTCATGGTGAAGGCCTTTAGTTCTGGCTAGTTGTGGCTGATGGCTTGAGGGAAGACTTAGCAGTTCAGGTGATGTGGTAGCTATATAGATAGAAAAGTGCTTCTGGTCCTGCAAGTGTGGTTTCAGAATCCCAGTGTTCTGAAAGAGGATGCACAAGTTGGCTCACAATTTGGAAGCAGGTTTGTAAATTGCCCTATGCTTATCACAACACAAAGAACAGCATGCACCTGTAGAAGTTTATTGCCACTCCTGTGTCATAGTGTAGCTAACTCAAGTTGACTGTACTGAAATGAGGTGAAGTGTGAGGTCAGGAGGAGGGAGGAGGACTCACAGTACTGGTAGTGCGCATCTTCACCTGTGAGGAACTTCGAAACTCTCACACCATTGTCCTGTGGTGTTGCGAAAGGAACTGGGAGTTGCATGCACTAAAGTGCCATTCTAGGAGTTTTCATTTCTTATATTTCACGTTTACCTTTTTTGTGCAGTTTTAGTTTGAGGGTGACCTTAGAGGATTATGGGGTTTGTGTAGACTAATACTGTGTGGCGCTTTATCTCTGCCTATCAAAGTGTGTTGGCAGCAGATAGTGTGCAATATGTTTATGTCATCTTGTCTCACAGTTCGGTTTGTGACAGCAAGAGCTGCCTTTGAAGGCAACTTCTGTCCTCTACCTGTGCCTTAAGCCCATCATGTTGTCAGAACAACTCTCTAAAATAGAATTTTCTGGAAAAATTAGTATTGGAATTTTACAGGAAATAAACAATTTCCAAAACAGGTAAATTGTTTTGAGGGAGAACACGTTTCTTGAATATCTGGTTTTGCCTTTTTTTTTTTTTTTTTTTCCCCTTAAAATGGATGTTTTGATAACATGGGCTTCACAACTGGTTTCTATTAGGTCTTTAGTTAACTAGTGGAAAAAAAACTCTTTTCTCTAAAATAATTTCTTTTGACTTAGCCAGAAGAGGTTGTTTTAAGAACATAGATAAGGTGTAATGCATCATAGATACTGGGTTTATTTGGGTTTGCTTTTTTCTAGACTGAAGATAATGTTTTGGATTACAATTTACAGTTTCTCATAATCTGTAAACTGTTAATATGCCTTACTTTAAATACTTGGAATTAAAATCTGTAATATGCTTTTAAAATACTTCTTAGTTATGTTGATTCTAAGATTTTGTGGGAGATCTTAAAGTGCAATTAGGTCATATTTTTAGATCAACACATGTTTTCTTGAAAAAAAAAAAAACAGATTAAAAAGCTGGCTGCTGATTGCTATTTAGCAGACTTCCTCTTCAGGGTTGTGGTGTGTCCGTGTTCCCATTACAGTGTGCTCATAACAAAACCCGGAACCACACCCCATTGTATTACTCTAAATTCACTCTGCTTGGAGTTGATGGGTTTTATCCCCCTGTTGATCTCCTCAGTGTGAGCAGCTGTTTACTGGAAAGCACCTGATGGACCCTGAGTTTTCAGCAGGCCAGGAAGAACTGTCTTTTGGCTAATGAGATGCTAATGGGCAGCATTATCTCTGGAATAAATCGAGGAGGTGATTGAAAGCTTTGTCGATGTTGAATTTCTCAGAACATTTAACACTGCAAGTTAAACTTGTATTCAACAAGTATCTTGCAATCAGCTGAAGAGGAAAATCATCGATCATAAAACAAATGTTAGTGAAATGCATCGAAGAGTAGCACTCGTGTTCCCCAGAATAACAATAAGATACTTATCCTTCTAGTTCAGTGAACTTTCACCGTGGTTGTACGTTGTTAGTGTGTCTGTAGCATCTATTCTTGCTCTGTCATTTGGAAAGTGTAACTTTGTACCTCTGACGTGTTTGTGAGGTTTCGCTCAGCACTTTGTCAGGAGCTTTGGGGTCTCCTACATGTGGTGTTCACATAGTTCCCTTACGCCTTAGTAGAGCTTACGTGAATTGAAGCCTAAATAAAGTTTTGGTAAATGAAGTAAACCAAGTGTTGGTTGCTGCTGTGTTGTCGTTGTTGAGGATGCACCCAATGGAATATTAAATCTCTACTAAAAAGCAGAAGGGGAGGTTGTCCTGCAAAGCAAAAGGGTTTCTCTGCAGCCTTAGTCCACATAGATCAAAAACAAGGCAGCAGCAATTGCAATCTCCATGTCCTAAATTTATCACAAAGGCAGACCATAACTAGGTGATTACTTTCAGGCTATGAATCTTTTGTCCTGGAATCCTTTTAAGGCTGCGTGTCACTGTAAGCTATAGTTTCAGCCGTGATTGTGAATGTGGTTCTTTTCTCTTTCTTTTCTATTCCCTTCTCATCTGCTCACAAAAATAAGCAAAGTGCTTTTAAGTAGAAAGCTGCCTGTATGCCAAGCAGTTTAATGGAAGTCATTTTGTATTTTGATCCTACCATTTTTCAGCAGCTCTTTTGAGACATCTCCTTTAAAACTTCTTTTTAAACATTTGCCTCCTGCAAGAAAGTGTTTTGGAAATAGTGTATAGTTGTAACATGCGCTGCAGCCCAAAAGACATACAACTTTTATCTTGTCAAGCTATGTAAACATAGTAAAAGTAGCAATGTAGAATGATGAGGGTGTCACAGGAGAACTTTTTCATCTTGCTCACAATCTATGGCTCAAAGAAAATAAAAACGTCTGTCTCAATGCTATGACAGACAGTGCAAAGTACACTAAGCTCCCCAGTGCTTCACTGAAAAAGTGTAGTAATTCCATTTGGTGGTAACTTCAGGATGTTGTTACTAAGGACTCATCTTGCCCTTACCAATTTTATCCATCCATGAAGAAAGGGAGCCCAGCTTCAGGAAACCACTAAGTAATTTATTACTCTTTATAGGACCTTGGTAATTTAGAGAGTTCTTGGAAGTCCTCAATCAGGAACCTGTTAATACATAGCATCTCAAAATACTTTGGTAGGAATCAGTTGTGTAAATGTCTCTTTGCACTCTGGCTTTGGAGTAATGAGTGAAAATGAAAAGAAGGACATTTCTTTTACTGTATAGATGCAATTCAAGGAAAAGTCTGTACAACATGACAGCAAAGCTAACTCAACTCTTATTTTAAACTGTGGTCAAAAAAGTCCTTTGATTTAGGTGTAAAAACAAAAAAATGTTCAGTACTATTATAAACTTGGGTTTTATTTTTAATACTGTTCTGATTTTTATAAAATTTTCTTCTTAAAGATTGTGGGATATAGTTGTTAGTTGGTTCCCATTTGTAGAGTCTCTGATCCTACTCCTCATCTGTCGAATCATCTTTTTACATTAATGATCTTTGTCTTAATCTTTCCCTATAAAAAGAAATTACTCCAAGTAAGCTGGAAATTTGGCCTTAAATTTCTTAATAAGGAGAAGAGAACTGGTTAACAAAAATGTGATTCACCATAGAAACAGCTCAGCCAATAGTATGTATGCAGTAAATTAACTATTCCATGTTACTTTCATATTTAATACAGAACATAGCAACAATATGATGGCTTGACAACAATAGCAGCTGCATGGTTGTTTTTTTGGTTTTTTTTCATTTTTTTGAAAGAATGTTCTTGTGAGAAAAAAATAGATTCCCTGGAAAGTAATTTATATTACAAGTTTCATCACAAAAATTCTGTGGGTGGATACAATAGCCTAGAAATTAAATTAGAGATTTGTATAATAAATGATAGGTTTGATTTGATGTGACACTTCTAGTCTCTTACAAGTGACATAGCTACAGGCAATAGAATAATCTCTTCCCCTTGTGAAGATAAATGTTGTATCAGACCAAACTATCTTATATTAAATTACAACTTCCCTTTTTATTTTTTTACCATATGAAAAGATTCACGAGACTCTTCGTTAAATAATAGCATGACCCAATTATAGGAGTACTTTGGCCAAAATGCCTTGAAGATATTTTCTATTATCAGCTGTGTGATTAATTTATGTGGGAAACTGCCATAACAGACCTGATCTGAAAAAAGGAATTTTCCTTTATGCAGCATGTGGCATGATTGTGGCCATACTGAGCTAGAAAGGTGCTTTTCTTATCACAATTGGACAGAAACCCTCAGATAGAAATGAAGTATGATAAGAGGAGTGTGATAACTTGACTGTCTCTCTTGCAGGGAAGAGGTTTATGGTCTGTGTGGCTCTTACACAACTTGATTGTACTCAGACCATTGTTTCTCATGTTTTGGCAGAGAGAAGGAGCAAGAAAGGGAAGAACAGTTAATGGAAGACAAGAAAAGGAAGAAGGAGGATAAGAAAAAGAAGGACTCTGCTCAGAAGGTGGGTTTTGATATTTGAATTCTTTTATCCAGCTGAAACATAAATAGTGTTGGTGGTAATAAGATGTTAAATTTTTTTGTATTTTAACTTAAAAACGGATTGTTGAAGAGTGGTGCTCTTTAAAAACACTTTAAAGACACCACTCTTAGAGTGATGCTTCTTTAAAGAATCTTTTTTGCATCATTTTCCTGGAACTGAAGTGTTTTACTTGGATATTTCTTCTCCTTAGAGTGCTATGTAAAATGAAAGAATTTTTTTGATATAAAGTGTTTAAGTTACTTAATATGGCTTCTTTGGATCTCTCTCTACACAACTGCTACTTGTTTGAGGTGTTTGTGGACTGAGATACTGATGGGCTTTTGCAATTCTTGCAGTAAAACTGAGTAAATATTTATTAGAGCAGGAAGATCCTTTTTTAAAAATATCATTAAGGAAGTTTATATTAAATATTTACTACTGAAGATTCTGTTTATGTTTTGTGCTAAGTATTACTTGCATTTTACATTTTCTGTAGCAAATAGCACTTCTGCTGAAGTCTGCCAGTTCAAGTCTGAGTTGTGGAGAATTTGTAAGTCACCAAAAATTGGTTCTGCTAAGAAAACAAGTTTGAAACTTGGTGTAGTAGAAGGTCTGTATTTTGCACAAAACGTCTGGCAGGGTGTCCTAGGAATTAACTTGAAACAGGAGCTTGAGTCTCTTAGGGTATTATCCAGACTTTTTACCAGTAAAATCTTTTTTGGGCTTCCCAGTATAGCATAGGTGCAACCACCCTGGAGCAAGTCCAACAAAATGCCTTTAAGATGATTAAGGGACTGGAGGATCTGACAAATGAGGTGAGGCTGGGAGTGTTATGACTCTTCCTCCTGGAGGAGAGAAGGCTCAGGAGATCTCATCAGTGTACGTTAATATTTTGTGGAAGGGAGTAAAAAGATGGAGGCAGACTCTCCTCCACCGTGCCCAGTGGCAAAGCATAATGTGTTATGTACATATTCAAAGTCTGCCTAATCATAAAAGGACTCCTTTTTTGAGTGTGTATGTGGCTGGGCAACCATTCAAACAGGTTTCCCAGAGAGGTTATGGTGCCCCTGTCTTTAGATGCTCAAAGCTGAGTTTCACATGGTCCTGTGCAATCCAGTTTTGATGATTTTTTTTCTAATTGAGAAGCCTCTTGGGGCCAGCTGGAGGACAGGTGTGGATTAGAGGACAGGTGGGAGCTATGGATTAGATTTCCAGAGGCTGTTCCTTC